AAAAAAGAAAATCAATATCGAAAGAAAAAAGCATCACGAAGATATATCACAAGTACACAAAAATAAATAAGAAAATTATTTTCAACTGTTGTTCATTTTTTGTAATGATCGTACTAACAGGATATTATCAATTTGTTCCGGATTGATGTTTGTACGACGCTGGTTCATTATCAAACCAGCACTGGAGAACTGACGTTCGACTCCAGTTGATGTAGCTGGAATCGAATGAATTCTTTTTGCTAATTTAGAAAGCAATGGAAACGTTTTCGAGTGAATTTTCCAAAAATCCAACGGATTATTCGTTAATAATGATTTGTCAATCTGCATTACCATATATTTATCTAATTCATCTGGTTTTTTTTTGTTGAATACATACTCATCACTTTCATATCCAGCTTCTTCACCTTCATTTACTTCAATATCACAAGAATTGTCATCTTCAAATCGACTAAATAAATCAGCAGCTAATTTCATTTTTTTTTGTGCTGGTTCAGATCTATCTTCAAATGTGGCTGGTGTTGACACATCACCGATTATTTTTAATTGTTCTCGAATGTATTGTTGACATTGTAATCGTTCTTCTTTTGAGCAACTTTTCAATGAACGATATTTTGGATGCAACATAGTAGCACAATAATGTCGGACATCAAGAACAATCATATCATCTAATAATTCCAAAAGACGTTCTCGAAACCATTTGATTCCTAAAAGAAAAATAGAGTTATATGGAAATGTTCGATTAAAATATAGATGATACGACTTAGAATTTAACGATTGTACCTGCTATACTATCAATATTCCAAAAAACGTTATACTAAGAACACGTTAGCTTCCTGATAGAGATTTAAAAATCTGTAAACTCAGATACGTATACCAAGAAACACTTGCTTTCAGATGAATAGTTTAATTAAAATCTTTTTTGTAGAGAACCAACCTTCCAATTCATATTCTTCATCTTCATCGAACTTGTCATTGTCTTTCTTATTTTCATTCGTATTACAATAACATTTTTTATAATTAAGTAATGATTTGTATGAACTTAATGCTTCTTTTAATGTTATTGTACTCAGTAAAACCATATGTAAAGACGGGATATTCCCAGTTTGAATTAAGGTCATAGTATGTTTAAATGGTTTTAAAACCAGCACCAACTGCTTTATTGTTATTTCATCTAAATCAATAGTTAATGCTTGTTTTTTCCTAGCTAATAATAACCGTTTTGTTGTCGTAAATGACTTTAAAACGCTTTCTAGCAGATTTGACATGGAAAGCCATCTAACAATTGTTGACTGATGCAATGTAACACCACCGTTTTCTTTTATATCCTTGTTGATGCCGGCCTAAAAGATAAAATATAATTAAATAATAGTGTAAAGCATTTAAACAAATAAATTAGAGAATATATATCTTGCTTTTTACTTTCTTAACGTATTTTACAATTCTTTTGCACTGATTTAAAGACGCAAGAACGCGTTTAGCTGATGCTGGAATTTGATCGACTGTAATTTTTTCAGTTGGAATTTGTGCTTCATGTTTACATAATATAGGTTTCTTTAATTTCTTTTTAACTTTACGTTGAGTAACAGGTAATGCAGTTTTAGCATTACAATCATCATCAGTTGATGACTCACTTTCATCACTTGAAGATTCAGAATGTGAAGTAATATCAGTAGGAACTTTTATTGACATTGGTAAACCAGTAGCAGTTGTATCTGTTGAAGCATTGACAGAATTGTTTTTTTTCTTTTTTTTTGTATTCTGAAAAAAAGTAATTTTCAACACATTATTCAGTCTGTGACCAAAGCAGAATATCGGTTGAAAATCTTTAAATGCACAAACAAAGTTACTTCCACGGTCACACACAATATTAATATTAGCTAATGATACAATACTAAATGATTCCAAATGTTTATAAAGTGCCTAAAAAAAATATGTAAAATACAAAAGTGTAAGTTGAGTAAAAGTTTTTTTCTACTGGATGAGATTTCATTGTGATAAGGCGTTTTCAAAATATTTCTTTCTCGAAAGGTTCAGATAAGTTTTTGACAAGAAAGAAAAAGATAATGTCTGTTAACAATATTAATTCAGCTTCTTATCTTCTACGGATAACTATCATCGTAATCAATGAATATTTTTCAACGAATTCTCTCCTTAATAATGTGACAAGATTGAGAAAGACTTGCGAACGATGTTTTCTGTATGATTACCATTTATTCACAGGAAAACATCAGTAGACTTACATTTAAAGTTAATTCAGCCGTCTTCTTCTTAAAATGAAATGGTCGACAAAATAAATCAATTGATTGAAAAGAATATTCATCAGTAACAAATGTTGCAGTAACTGCTAAATATGAAATTCTTTTGCAACAATCCGTCCAATAATCAGGACAAATAGTTAATGAGTCTTCTTTTAAAGAAATTGACAACATATCTTTCACTTGATCAAGTAATTCATCAGCAATACATACAATATGACGTGAAATTGTTTTTTCACCACGAAAAACATCATTAACATCAACATTTCCATATGTAGCTCCTAAGAAATATACATAACAAAAAAGATAAATATTAATGCTATGCATATATATATTATCGAATCCTTACCTAAACGAATACATTCTTGTGCTACATTTCTAAAACCGGGATCATCTACAATACTAAATGGTCTAATATCACCACAAATCCATTGTGCACATAACTTTTTTACTATTTTAACATCATTTTCGCTAAACTGTAGGGACTTTTTAAATCCCATTTGATTCAATGTTGTTTGTGTTGATGAAGATGAACTGGTACTAGTTGACGATGATACTGATGATGGAAAACATTTATCAGCGTGTTGTTTAAATCTTTTTGTACCACTTAACAAATTATAAACTTGTGTGTGCATGCATTTGATACAGCTAATATAACCATTAATTCTTTCTAACTTATTATTCTCATTTAATTGAGCCGGAAAGCCAAAAGATCTCCACCACTCAGCATGAGATGGTGATTCATTTTCGATAATTTTGAATTTTTGTGGTTGATTTAACAATACACGTTTTATTTTTTTAGAATCAAAAGAGTTTGTGCTGATTGAGGATGAATTTGATGAAATATTTGAACTGGAAGCTTCAGAAAAACTAATTGAAGACGTAGAATCAAAATTTGGTCGTAATAGAGATGATGAATTCTCTTCGGAATTCATGTTCAAATCTAAAAAAATTTAAAAAGCAATAGACAAGGCAGTTTGTTTTTGTATTAATAGAGATCATCTGGCAATTGTATTCTTTGTTCTTTCTCTCTTTGTTCTATGTGTGGAGACATATGATAACCAATAGAAGAACGTCAACATTATCGCTAAAATATAGAGTGGATAAAATATAAATGTCCCTAATCTTTAGCGATATCTAACGTATTGGGTTGGTAAGAAATTTTTGTCGTTTTTTTCAAAAATTTTAATTTTATTTTTTAAATATCAGAATACAATTATCAATCAACAATGTATGCTCCATTACTGTCTATGACTTGTTGCCAACGCTCTGGCAGAGAAAGGATCCCTTGTTCGTAGAACTCTTGAGACTTTTGGTCGAAGAAATTGAGAAGATCCATTTTGAGGTCGTTCTCGTCTTCGAACTTTTTCTCACGTAAATGATTGTCGAGAGAACGGTACAGATGGTAGGCCGTAGGAGCTAAGTCTGGAGAATAAGGTGGATGGGGAACAATGATCCAACCAAGCTCCAATAACTTTTGGCGTGTCGACTTTGCTACATGGGATCTGGCATTATCATGTAAAAAGTAAATTCGATCTTGTTTTCCTTTGAGTTTTTCTGCAACCCGATCCATTTGCTGGCAGTAGAGATCAGCTGTGATGTTGCAGCCGTCTGGAAGAATTTCCGAACGAATAATCCCTTTGACTCCCCACCACACGCTCAGCATCACCTTCTTTGGGTGTAGATCAGTCTTAGGCGTTGGTACACCTGCTTGACCAGCGCTCAGCCACTGGCGTCTACGTTGGTAGTTAATATACAACACCCACTTCTCATCACCAGTAATAAGATTGCTGAGCCATTGATAGTTGCGATGAGAAGTCAACAATTCCATACAAGCATCAACTCTATATTGCATCTGAAGTGGTGATAACTCATGGGATATCCAAACTCCATATTTCCACATTTTGCCTAATTCGTGCAGATGTGTTTCCACTGTAATATGAGAGCACCCAAGACGCTCTGCTAAACACCGTGTAGTCAATCTAGGATCTTCTTCGATAAGCTCCTTTAAGAGATCCGTATCCACCTCTAGTGGTCTTCCAGTATGAGGCAAATCATCGAGTTCGAAGTTACCGTTCTTGAACTCATTGAACCAACGTTGCGCTGTACGAATGGAGAGCGCATCCTTGCCCATCGTATGGCATATGTTGCTTGTTGCTTCTGTTGTTTTGTGATCCAGACGGAATTCATGAAGCAGAAGCAACCGGAGCTCTCTACGAGATATTTTCATCTCTAATTAGAGATCAGTATCTATATCCACAATTTTATTGTTGTTCGAAAGATATTTACACTCCCTTTATATACCCTTAGTATGGAAACTTCTAGAACTTTCTTGACTGTTCTAGGAAGTTACGAAAAAAACCACAAAAATTTCTTACCAACCCAATAATTATATATATATATAACATTTTGACTAAAACAACATAAATAATTTTAGTGTAGGTACAAAATTTACCAGGGCAAAAAAAATTTGCCCTGTCCTGTCCTGTACTTTTCACTAATCGCCCTGCAGGGCAAGCAGGGCAGCGCAAAAAAAAACTTTGCCCTGCAGGACAGGGCGTCAGGGCGTCAGGGCAGCCCTGCCCTGATGACGGTCTCTGGTGTAGACGTTGATGTGGGTTCTTTGTGTATCTTTTCTTTATTCACTCATATCAACACCCACACCCTTTTTCAGTTGTTTTCTTTCTTGTATTGAAGAAATAAGATGAATATATCAATTTTTCTGTATTCTTTATGCAATTCAGCTTATCATGACTACGTTGAAAATTATCAATTTTTATATTATCTTACTAAGAACTTGTCGCAAGTTCATACTAGTGTTAGTTTCGTTTCTTTATCTGATACTAAAGAAAGTCTATCAATATGTATCATTGTCTGTTGTTCAATAATGCCAATAGTTTCACATCATACAAAAATGAGTATCAATGTATGTGGTCCATTTGAAATGTATTTCGTTTTACCAATATTTTGTTTTTGTTTGCCGTTATTGTTTGCCTACTCTCCGTGTTCTGTATTTTACTGTTCTCATGAGGAGTGCCTCTCAAGAAAGCGCTTGATTGACGAAATTTAAAAAAAAACGAATAAAGAGGAGAGAAAAAAGAAAAATGAGTAAAGCCGTATTATGTTGCACAAGTAACACAAGAGTCATTCGACAAACAAACGACGCATTTTGCATACACAGCATTCAACCAAGTTGGAAATTATTATTATTGAAATTTGTTGAAAAATTTTACTTTGATTATTGCATCGTGGTAAGTAACTTACGACCATGGTTCCTAAGCAGATCTTCGAGTTTTTTAAACGTCATCAATATAACGGAAGTATGACTAGAATATTCATTACAGAGAATCGAGACAGAAATGAAATAGATATTCATCACGAACTTTCGTTTATCTGATCCACTGATGATTTTTCCTTAGTCAGAAGTCTATAGAGTATATTTACATATATGCATTGCACACTGCTTTATTGATTAAATTTTGTCCACATTTCAGATGATTAGCTTTCGACGTGTGTGTCCTTTTCTATTTATGACTTTTTCGCGATTTTGGATATTGAGATCGAAGTATCAAAATAATGTCACTGGTAATTTCATAAGATAAGGACTAAAGACGATACTTTCACGCTTCGCAAGTTTTCCTATCGAGAATAATGAGTGAACCGTTAACAGCGAGTGTGAAACCTTTGTGTAACATAAAGATGCTTAGCAGTGAAATTGAAAACCTTTTCAGGGTTGGTATAGATGTGTGAGTGTAGGTGTGAGGTGTGGTAAAAATAAGAGCCCAATCCACCTACCCTCTCCACACACCCGCCCATACCCACACCCACACGCATCCACACCCTTTTTTTCCGTTTACGAGACAAACGGAATTCGAGACAGAAAAGTGTGTTCCGCAGGTCTCTAAGTTCTCATCATTTCGATTTCAGTCAAATTTTTCTAAGATGTTCTGAAGTTTTAGTTTGCTAATTAATAAACTTTAAAGGAATCAGCGAAACTTTGATGCATATTTGTTACTGAAGTGCTAATCCATGGAGTTTCCTCACTTGTTTTGTTTATGTATTGTGCTGTTCAAATAATATATCATGGAGACTTTCTTTTTGAATTCATATAATCACTAGCAGTAAGTGTAAAATTTGTAATAGATAAAGTTAAGTTTTTGAAATTAGAAATTTTATGAAAAATTTTCGCTTCATTTTCCAACAAGCATAAAAGTAAAGTCTAGATGATAAGGCATTTATACAAGATAAAACAAAAAGCAGACAAGTTAGGTTAACGTCTGATCTAGTAGTTAAGTAACTTAAGGCCGAGTAGAAGTTTCTCTTTGTCTTTAAGATATTATTTAATAAAAGACTTGAATAGATGCATATACGAAAACATGTAGAGAATAAAACTGCTACGTATTTATAGTGCATATATTCTCTTCATGTTTATTAGACAAATCTATATTCGAAACTATTGCAATATTATAAACAACCATCATGGGTTAAAAGAATTGATGTTATTGATTATTATTAACAACTTCGATGTATAGATTGTTTGTTTTAGTCGAAGTTAATATATTAAAAACGCGAAAGAAATCTAAAAACTTCAATAGGTCTTCACTACTTTTCCTAAAAACATCTAACTGTCATTATTGTGGATATTTACTAATTATAATAAGAAAAGATCTAATCAATTATGTTAATAATTCAAAAATAGCATCTAGTAAGAGAAATAAGACATAAAAATAACGAAAGAAAATATATTACAAATATAAAAACAAGTTAAAATGGCAAGGAAGTGAAACGAAGTTACTTGCTCACGTTCTGCAGGTGTCTCTACTGATGACATAATAATCACTCCAATCAGTAATACTTGAAAGAAGAAATATCATCGATAAAGTGATTCTTTCATTGTATTATCAGTTGAAAGGTTAGTCGCATTAATTCGAATATAATAAAGTATTTACTATTTACTTGTCTAAAATGAATATATAAATGTAATACGCACATAGTTTTAGGCAGATATGCAAGTTATATACTTGTCTGCTAACAAACGATACATACCCTTTTCTTTTTTGATGCTTTCTGTGGTAGGATGTCCATCTCAAGACAATAATGTTCTTTTATAACAGTTGACTAAAGCATCGAAAATAGGCCTCCTGTGAACGGAAAATGAAATTCAAAAAATTTGATAAACTTCTTATCGATTCATATTTCTTGGAATAGCGCTATTATTATCCCTATCACTGAAGTTTAAGTTACATAAGTAGGAGCAGAAAAATTAAAACTTAGTATTGATGATTAAGTGAATCGAGAACTATTAATATTAGCCAATTAAATGGTGACGGTAGCTCACTTTTTATTCAGATAAGCAGCTCAATAACCGGTCAGATTTGAACGTTCAATGCAATAGAATGTTTCATTCCTATTCTACGAACATGTATACGCCAGAAGAAAGAGATAGGCTCTGTATCATTTGCTAGAAAATAAGAATGTAATTTACATATCTAAATAGGAGTAAATTATACTGTTCCTGCCTTTGACTAATAAAATAAAATGTATCTCAATATGATTATTAACATCAAGTGAATGACATAGTGAATCGAATTCTTTTCATTGTCTGTGCCATTGACATTCAAGGTTATCTAACTTCTAAACTTCATCACAAGGAGAACTTAATAATTTCGTATCGAAAATGAAGTACATACTTATTAAACTATTATGTCTGTTTTTCTTTCCCGCATCGTTTTTCATCTGTAAAAGTTATAACTCTATGTGAAGTTATGACAAGTGACATTATTAGATAGTATACAAAATATTCCTATTAAGACTAACAATCATGCTGTATCTATAGTTGATTGTTATATATTTCTTCATCATGCAATCTTTTATGTTATTAATTATGTACTTAGGGGTATCCAAAAGTAGTGGCAACGACATTTTACTACCACTT